ATTGTTTTAAAGCAGTGAATTTGTATTTTTAAAGCAATGTTTTTGTGTTTTTAAAGCAGTAATTTGTTATTTTTAAAGCAGTGACAGATATCTTAACCTCTAAAATCTCGAACTTTAACGCTTAATATCTCGGTTCACGAGGTCAAGCGCCCTTCCGGATTCTTTCATTTTGAGTAAAAACGCGTCAAATAAGCCTAATTAGATCAAATCGGAAGTGAGGCCCGTATTCTATATAATTATCCTGATTTTTTATTTCATCTAATAAAGTACTTTTTAAATTTATCATTATTAATGTACATATGTTTTCTACACATATTACTTGTAACATATTTCTAACTATAATTAACATATTGAATATTTTTCTTTTTTACCTGAAAGCTCTTCCAGTTGCATAAAATCTAAGAGAAACTAATAATTGCATAACAGGAGATATTGGCAATCCTCGATTGTTAATTTTTGCAAGTCCTTCTATTAATGGTAAAATTTCATACATAAGTGATTCTTTTGAAAATCGAAATCTTTATAATTATACAGAATACCCCCTCCACCTCCGATTTCGATAAAATTAGGCTCATTCGACGCGTTTTTGCATAAAACGAAAGAATCTTGCAGAAATAAGTGTCGCTCTGCTCTACGAACCGAGATATTTAATGTTAAAGTTGACGACTATCAGGTTAGGTAAGCTGTCACAGTCCTACATTCGCTATGTTTTCTACATGCATTTCGATGTTTTGCGCATGCGTCTCGTTTCTTTTTTTACAATGGAGTGTAAAGCGGGGAGCACAGACTTTTGCATAACGCATAAACCATATACATAAAGAATTTGATTGGTCCATTGACTCATGCATAAGAAAGTGGGCCAATGAAATTCCTTATGCATATGCTTTATGCGTTATGCAAAAGTGTGTGTTTCTCGCCTAAGAAATGTGATAATGATATAAACATTAATACAGAAACATTAATGTACAATTGTAGATGTTGTGCGCCCCTCAGCAGGGGGGGAGGGAGAGGTGGACAGAGGTCTGCCCCGACAGTACAATCGTAGAAGTCGTGCGCCCCTCAGCAGGGGGGGAGGGAGAGGTAGACAGAGGTCTGCTCCGACAGTACAATCGTAGAAGTAGTGCGCCCCTGTGCAGGAGGAGGAGGGGAGAAAGTTACTTCGCGTGGAAAGTTCAATGTTTCTGAACAGGGAAAGGTGTACAATTTCGTGTCTGACAACAATATATTTGTTTTGCAGTGTTAATTTCAAATTTGGTGCATTCTGTTGGACTCAAACGATACCAAGCGCATGCGCACGAGGTCAGACAGCATGAAGAAGGCATACTCGTAGTACTAAATACATGTCGGTATGACAGATTTCCTAACCTGAATAGTCGTCAACTTTAACATTAAATATCTCGGTTCGTAGAGCAGAGCGACACTTATTTCTGCAAGATTCTTTCGTTTTATGCAAAAACGCGTCGAATGAGCCTAATTTTATCGAAATCGGAGGTGGAGGGGGTATTCTGTATAATTACCAAATCTTTTTTTAAACACAATATCATTCCAAATAGTAAAAGGATTTTGATCATCTCAAATATACTTTTTTTGGAAATCGTATACGTAATTTGTTTTCTTCTTCTTCTTCTTCTTCACCTTCTTCATCAGAAAAATAAATAGCTGGAAGTTCAATATTTCGTGGTTCTTCAAACTTCTTACAAAAAACAGTATCGCACTATACAATTAGGTTAGGTTTAATATCTTAAGTCGACTTCGGACACGACTTGGCAAAGATCGTCTCATTTGATAACATATACGTCAAATAATAAGGCAGTCTTAATTGACTATGAATTCGTAACTATAATGAGATAGTCTTAAGTCAATGCTTATTTTGAATAAGATGTGTTTATGAATCGTATCAACACGTTTTGAAACAAGATCGTCTTCGACAAGTCATGTCTTGAGATTTTACTCAAGTGCCGCCTTATTTTTTAACTATGAATATAAGAACCAACTATGAATACGGGCCTATATGAACAAAACTTCAAAAAAAAAAAAACTATAATATTTTGGACGCTATAATAGGTTTGTTTTCTGTGGCTGAACTAGTGTACACTTTTAGAACTTAAAGTGAGATAGGTATATTGATATTTGTAGAAAGCGAGAAAGAGAGTTCTAGTTCAGTTTAGTGCAGGAACAGAAAACAGACCATTTATTTCCAATTAAATGATTGTCCAAACTTTCTTGTAGGGTCTCTAGGAGCCATGAAAGAGAATTTACCAATCGCAATGATCACACGGACAAATCGTTTAAAAGCGATTGGTCAATTCTCTCTCTATCCGAAATCTCGGACCGATTTCTAATATCATGGACATACGGCTTTGTTAATTGTGAATTTTTTTTTTAAATTACTTAAAAAATTGTGCATTTTAAAGATCAATTTACTACCAGTAACATACACTGGGAAAAAGTTTCATGATCGATACCAAGCCCTATTTTTTTTATATATTATATTCTCTCTCTCTATCTGTAATTAATATTCCTTTTTATAAAAGCCTTAAGGACGTTAATCTTTTTTATGCACTATTTGTAAAAAAACGAAAATTTGGATAAAACGAAATAATGGAATCGTTTTTTTAAAACAACTGTAAAAATGGACGGAAACTATCCTTATCCCCAGTCACTAGCCGTATTGTCTCCGCTCACTTTATGGAGGCAGGAGCCATTAATTAAGAAGAAAAATCCCCAGTCACTAAATAACTATAAAAGATGATAAAAAATACATGAAGTGCGTTTACTCAATGCGTATGCATAGCCTATTTTCATTTTCACAATTATTTACTAACTGTCAGGGAAATAACTTTCTATTTTTTCAATTCAAAGTAATCTCATCATTTCATTTTATTCAAATTGTCTGTTTTTATAAATGGCACATAACAAAAGTTAATGTCTATCTAATTATTACTTCTGACATCACAATTTAATATGGCTGTAGTGATTACTCAGGAGCCTTAGTAATCTGTTTGAGGAATTTATCTTTACATTTGTATATATATAAATCTCTTATTGTGTGTTACCTTATGAAAATCTCTTATTGTGTGTTACCTTATGAAAATTTGTATAAATAAAAGTTGCTTAAAAATTAATTCAATATTACAGTTTATTTAATATCACTTTGTATTACATATAATACATTCATAAAATAAGAAAAAAGCAATCTTTACATAAATAAAGAATATAAAATAAACAGTACATGTACACTCTCTGAGAATCCTACTTGGTAATTGAATTAATTACGGATATATGACTGCGACGACTATTTAGAAGCCGTAAAATAAAAATTTAAGTAAACTTAAAGAAGACTGAAGACAAACTTCTTTATTTTCAGTGTGATAAATAAAGCAATAATAAATAAGACTTTAAATAAAATAAACAAATTATAAGAAAACAAATACGGGTCAATTCTAAGAATCGTAAGTCTCCGCATACATGTTCCCGTAAGACTTGTAAGAACTTGCAATACAAGTGCATATAACTTTATTCATATCTTTACAGACAGCTTCTTATTAGTTATACAATTTACGAGAAGTTGTAGATATTTATGAATAATCGTACATCTTGGTACATATACATAAAATTGCAACACTAGTAATAAGTTCTTACAAGTTTTACGAGAACAAGTTACGATTCTTACAATTCTACTTAAAACTGACCTAATAGTTAGCAAAAATTAATTCTTATCCTCGTTTGTTATTTGAGTAGTTATTAATCGACGTATATATGTCTGTAACCATCCCAATCCTTAATGTTATTGATAATACTTTTTAAAGCCTTTAAACATTTTTTCTGTTATAGGCTTATTATTTTCTCCTGTGCAATTACTGTATATCAAATCTGCAATACAAATTATGAATTTTAGTTATTTGATTGCATAAATATTGAATAATTATAATTGTATTATAAAATTTAAATACCAAAAAGAGTTTCGTAAAAAATCGTATCTTTCATAATATATTTATCCTTTGATTGTTGAACCGCAGTACATTGTATAACTAATTATCTGGTTATAATTTTAACATTGTTAGTATTGTTTTATGCATATTTTGTTCTACCAAATGTT